CATATTATAATAATAATTTAATTTTCTTTCTGAAATCTTTTCTTAAAATTACTTTTAAAAGTTGCAAATTTTATTTGACAACTTTCCTTTCAATTTTATAATTATAAAAGAGAGAAAAAACGAAGAAAAGACTTAATCAAATCACATCCATGATTGTTAAACCGATGAAATAATGAAATGTTATAATATATACTTAACTAAAAATGGCTTCTTTAATTAAGTTTAGCTAAGTTGAATATGTAACATAGAAATGAATAACGTTAATCGCATAAAAAAATTTAATGAGTTTCATATTAATTACAATTTATTTTCAGGCCTTACCAAGGCTTAATGATATGAATTATCAGCCTTATCGAGGCCTAGTGATATAGATTATCATTTGTTGAAGCAAAAATCATTGAACGTTTTCCATTCATTGGATTGAAATGAATAGAACAAAAAATGAAAATCGGAAATAGATGATAATGTTTATCACTTTGATAACGAAATAATTACTACTATTTGCATTTATGCTTTTGAAGAGAGAAAACGAAAGAAAGATTTAACAGGAATTTATATTAGACAAATATATTTGCGAAAAATTTTGCATTAATCTGGAGCATAAACAATTATACTATCATAAGTTTCAATTTTGAATATTAAATTTGAATTTGATTTTTTATAATCTATTTGATAATATCGCATGATGATAATAGCATCATATTGAAATTTTGCACTGAAAGCAAATTTTTTAAGGTAATTATAAGAATGAAAAATATTAATCATTCAATATGCAAAAATTGCAAATATCGAGTGATATGATAAAATGGAAGCAATAACAGATAACACTGATGCTTATGATAAACACAAGTTGTCACATATGACGTAATATTTTATGATATTGGTAACTGATTAAAAAAAAACTAAGTTAAATTCAATTTAATTATGACTGATTGTGATATGCATTTGTTATCATATAGCGTAATATTTTATGATAATAACAGTGATTGATAAGAAAGATTATGATAAATATCAACGGAAAAAAAGGCATTAATTTGATTGCTATTTCGTAAATTTTCCAAAAGTTTGAAATAAAATTTATAAATATAATTAAGGATAAATAAGAATTTTTGCAAACATTTATTTTTTTTCATTTGTTTGCATCTTTTAAACTTTTTTTTATGCCAAACAAATGATTTGATCATTTCTTTTTTTTTTTTGTATGTGTGTGTCACGTTATATCCGCTTGCATTGCATGTCATTCATTTGTCAATTGTCAATTGCATAGTAATGTCATCGATAATTTTCCATTAAATTAAAAAATTGCACAAAAGAAATGAAAAAATGAAACAAATTACAGAAATTATTTATTTATTGCAAAAATCTTTTTCAATTATGATTTTATTTTTCTTTTTTTTTTTTTTGTTTTATTTTCATTTTCCATATTTTATTGATTTTTCATTCTAACATTGAATAAAATTGTAGCAAAATTTGGAAATTTAATTAAAAATCTCAGTAAAAAATGTCAAATTTTTATGAAATCAATAAGAAAATTAATAGAATTGTTGATTTCAAAAAAAAGAAAAAAATCAATATTTCTTATTTTTTATTGTTACAATTTGATCAATAAATTTATTTTACCTTCCGATATCGTTTCATAATTCTAGAATTGAAAATCTTAGAGGTAGCATCATACCTTTTTGCAACGTCAATCGAAACATTCTCATTAATTTATTTGATTCGTTCTATTAATGAATAATTTCATTAATTTGTTAATAGATAAGAGAACAAATAAATCTTCTCGAATTATTCTGAAACATATCCCAAAGATCAATCTCACCTTAGTGAAATCATATTATCGATTCAACGTAGTTCAGAATAATCAAAAAGAAAAAAAATTAGAAACACCTAAATATTGGAAAAATGAAAGAAAAAGAGTAGTTTATTTAAAACAAAAAGTCAATTTAAATCAGAGAAATTAAGAGGAAAAGAGTCAACTTAAATTTAGAAGTCTTTTTATTTTTTTTTTATTTTTTTTTTTTTGGAAATAGAAATGACATTTCAAACCATTGACATACTAAATAGCATGATATTGTCAATAATTCATTAGACTTAATGATATTTCCAAAATGTAAATAAGCAAGAGAGAGAGGGAGAGAGAAAAGAAGGAAGTGGAAGAGAGAGTTTTTATTCAATGATTGGAAGAGAATTCGTGACTGGAATAAATGATTGAAATGAAATTTTTTTTTTTTAATGATTTAACTTTTAGTAAAAAACATTTTTATCATCTTAATTTATCTTAAAAAGTAAAATAATATACTGTATTAGGCAAACAATTTCGTTTAAAACATTCCATTTTCTATTATTGAATCAAAAAGTTTTCCTGAAATGTCCAAAAATATAATTTAAATTATTTAATAAATTTATAGTAAAATTTAATTATCGAGGTTAAATTTAGGAAAAATATCCCTTAGCTATGCTAAACTTGCTATGCCAACTTCGTAACAAATGTAAATTTTATTTTATTTTCGAAAATTTCACAACATAATTCATTTCTCGAATGATTTTTAACATTACAATAATGAAATTATGAAATAGAAATTATAAATTATGAAAATTATGCAACTGTTATTACAAATTAGTGTGCATATGACATTGTGTATTTACAAATTTTTATTTTTACTAATTAAAATCATTCGATCGTTTAGTCAAACTACATCAGAAACCGAAAAAATTCGGGAAAAAAATGGAAAAATAATGAATTCTACGACAAAAAAATAAATGTTACAATTTAAATATAATTTAAATTTATTATTTAAGCCTTAAAGCTTGAAAGTATCAATTTTTGAAATCATTTAAATAATCACTTTTTTTCTTTTTTTTTTGTCAATCCAACGTAACTTTAAGCAAATGAATATCTATTTCTAAATTTAAATTTTTTAATTTCAATTTAATTTTACTCTTTCGAACTATTCCATTGCTGTTGTTTATGTATGCAATTAGTTACAAATGAAAAGATCGCTGCTTTCCTCAATAAAAACAAAAACTTTTAAAGGAAAAAAGATTTTTGCGATGAGTTTTTAGTAGAGGAAAAAAGCGGAATGAAATTATATCTTTGAAAAATCAGGAAAAACGGAAATATTGCCGTTTAATTTCATTTTTTCTGCTTGCTATTTTCATCATGCTATAATAGTATTCAGTTTAATCTTTTTTTTTCAAAAAAGACTTTTTAGCCATAAATTTATGTCCTTTCTCTTTTCCTGCCATCACATCTCATTTTATTAGAGCATAAAAAAGACTTTTCTTTTTTGTTTAAAGTTAATGAAATAAAGAAAAAAAAATAGAAATTTTCTGGTGGAATAAATAATTTCGAAATAGAAAAAAGATTTGAATTTATTCAAAATTAAGCAAAAAAAAAAAAAATGCGAAATGCAATGAATATTTTATTAATTATAATGTCATTTAAGAGAATTAACAAAATTAATATCACTGAGTTATTTATTTTAAATTTTTTAAATTAATATTAACTTCCTTCAAAGATTTTTAGTTTGACTACTATCAAAATTATGAAATTTTCACATACATATGTTTTTCCTTGATGTTAAAAGAGTTGCTAAGGATATCGAATTCTTCGGGTGTTTCATTACATTCTTCCAGGAAATCCCGGTAAATGCATTTATTCTTAGTTTACGATTTTTAGTTTAAAACTATGTTATGTTTAATAAATTTCTTATCGAAATCGTTTTCAATTTTTTTTTCTTTCCTTTTCTGCAATTTTTATAATTGATAGTTATAGAATAATACAGATTTAAAATTTCAAATTTTTGTTAGGTAGAATGAATTATGGAAAAGTTTTTTTTTTGTTGAAATTCGTATTCTAATATCTAATTAGATAAAATAATACAGATGAATGTTAAATTTGAAGTAAAATAGAAGATAAAGTAAGAAATGAAAATAAAATTTGAAGAAAAATACGACATTTAATATAGTTCCTAAAACAGATCCAGTTTTACGTCATTTTCTTTTGCGTCACAAAATTTCCATTTTATTTAGTAGATAGCACTTAAGCTATTTATTTGACCATAAATAATTTACAAATCTTACTGCTATTGAGGGCTAGTTTTATGTGAAAATTTTGCTTGACATATTCAGCTTGATTAAATGATCCCAAATAGGCTTCTTTTGTCAAATGAAATACAGAATGTTTGCTGAATAAAAATGAATTAAAATAAGAGATGTAGGAGGATTAAAGGTTAAATGATATTTACAAGTAGCAACTCGTAAATTTTATCTCATTTCATCAACTGAGATGAAGTGCTAGTATTTGAGAATGGCAATTTAATAGGCGGTAATAGTTTAAACATGAGAAAATTTTTTCAAAAAATTTTCTCAAATATAAATTTTTTTAAAGCTCTGTAAACTTATCTAAAAAAAATATCAAATTTGAATTTTCATTTGAAAAACATATGAAACAAGCTAGTATTACTATCACTAATAATTAGAATTATAAGAAATTAAAACTATTTTATCATTAATAACTTAAAGCTCCAAAACAAACTACCGCACTTTAAAAATTTACAATCAAATTAATGCTGTCTTCTATATTGTGTTGTTTAACCAACTTTTCCTTCTAACTTACCAAATATTGCCTTCTAAAATTCTTACAGTAATTTGAGTCATGTCTTACGATATATCGTACAGTAGTGTAAACGGTATCGTAACACTAGCAGCATAACTTATGAAATGAAATGAACAGAAATAAAGATATTGTTGTGCTACTAAAACTTGGCAAAATCCTTAATCATTGTTGTTAATGTCTTTTCTTCGCTATTGTTTTTCATGTACCAGTGATTACCAAATGTTTATCGAGATGACTGAACACACTGTAGAACAGGTACCTAGAAAATCAAACCCTATTACACACATTCAGAGAATCAAACTATACCACATACCGTATCCTTATGATTATGAATGAGACTACTCATCTATAATGTTTGTTCTCCCTTGCTGATAATTGTATGACAAAGTCTGGCGAAGCATTGTTTCCAATCATGTGATATAATCCGATTCTCCAAAAATGTATAATGCGGTTTGATTTTCTAGGTTATCCGTACTACGGTATGTTCATCTGAAGTAATAATCTGTTGATAAGTCAGAAAAGAATGAGAAGATGAGAAAAACTTGACTGGAATAAGTGTTAAATTTAACTGAATTGGTAATTTTCCAGAATTTCGTTTCCTTCTTTTAAACTTAAGCATGGATAAGCTGTTCAATTTTTCAACTTGTATTTTAAGCTTCTTGGTTCTTAAAGGTTTTAGTACGGTTTAAGACCGTCGACAAAGAAATTTAAATGGCTAATATTTATCAGATTACATGAGCTTAGGTAAGACACGTTAGGTACTGACATTTAAAACTAGAAATCCGGCATATATAAGATATTACTTTGGAGGAATTAATAAAATTGCTACAATTTCTGGGATTATAAAGAGTGGATAAATAAACGGCAAAGAAAAATTTGAAACAGTTTGAAAGTTTTGAACAATCAGAAGCCACTTTTTTTGGGGAACACTTCAAGATAACCGAGAGATTAATAAGTACTAAACCACTTTTCTTTAAAAAAAGACGATCACTACTTTATAGAATTTCCCGGGAAATCATGACCAACAAAACTGTAAAAACTGTGTGTCAGATTGTGTCAAGAAAACAGAAATACAGACGAAATAATAAGGATCAATAAGCAATGGAAGGTTTATCGCTCTGACCGGTGGCATTCAACAATGTGCAAACCACTGGTTGTTAAAACTGCTAACAAATCATCCCTGAGAAAAATCATTGATATCACCGACACATGCATTTCTATAACTGAGCAGGAAGCTGCATAATGGTCATCCGACAAGAGATCCGTTCGTTTGTATACCAAAATGACCTGAATTGAAATCAATAACCAATAGAATAGTTTGAAATTGAAACCTGTAACTGTAAAAACGTCAAAAATATGATCAACTTTAAATATGCCAGAAGTAAATAATGATTTGCAAATACTGGACCATCGCAGTACTGATCAAAGCTATGTAGAGTTCACCAAATTAATGGAAGTAAAGCTACGAAATCATTTCGATCTATGCAATTGTTTCATTTTTTCCAGAGACCAGTTTAGTTATAAGTTTTAATATTTTGATAGTTCAGAATTGCAAAATAGAACTTACCCCACCATATGTTCCAATAGCAATCAACTGATGACCGGATGCAGAACATACAACAGCATCATGGCCACGTGTATCCTCCAATACTGTTATCCTTTGCCATTCGAAATGACTTTTATCCGGAGAGAGAGACAGCATCCATACGGCTGCTGGTCCTAATGTTGAAGATACTAACACCGAAATCTTATCCTCTCGTCCAACATGTTGCAAAATTAACAGAACTGATATTGCACCAGAAAATTTCAATTTACTTCTGCAAATCACTCAGCAAGTAAAGGAAATTCAAATCAATATTGTAAACCACAGAAAGAAGACAAATAGTAAAAGCTATCCAAAGTACAAGTAATAAATACCTATCTTCTATAAAATTTGTTTTCATGGATAGCGCTGTTGCAATAACATAACCTGTATCAAAACCAAGTACAGACCATCGATATGTCGATGTTTGAAGACAATTTGATCTGTAAATGATAAGTTCCGTAAATTGCAACATAACATTGTCAATATCATTTTTTATAATTGTTACGATCACCATTATTAGAAATAATAATTCCTTTTATCACTTGGAAGTCCAAAATAACAGGTAAATACCTGATGGCAGAACCTGGCAAATCGCCCAAATCAAGTCCTGGATAGATATCACCAATTGAATCAATCTCTTCAACTGCAAGTGATATGGGCTGAAATTCTGACCACCTTTTTAAATGAAATTCACAAAATTAAAAATAGTTTTTGAGAAGTCACATAAGGAAAAAGTTATTCGTTAATTGAAACCTGGACAACAAATAAACGAGCAGCATGTGAGGCGGTAAATACGAGCCAGCAATGGCGATTATTTGCAACGGCTGCTTCAGCTGTTATTCGAGTATAGGAAGGAACGTTATCAAGTTCCAGTTTATAACCTGAAAAGCAAAAGAAAAAAAAGTTTAACAATAACTGCAGATGGTGAAAGCCACTTACTAACAATATGTTTTATTGAAGCATAATGTTTCAATATATTTCAAGTACGAGAAGAAAGGCAATGACAAAGGAAAGATATAAATCGAGAAAGATTGAAAACAAAATGTCAATCTTCTAAATTGTCCGACCTGAAATTCAAATCTAGAAACAAAAATGAGAAGTCTAGAAATGAAGCAAACAATTTCCCACTTTGCACGACCACATATTGTGATTCTTAACTAATAACTTACTTAAAATGAATTTACGATCAGCTGTTGCTTTGAACATCGCGGCAAAATAACGCTTTGGCATCCAGAATTCATCAAATAATACCCAACTGCGAAGAAAATTTAATTTTAATATAAGGACATTAACGAAAAACAAAAAAAGATTTTCTTAAACGATATTGTTTCAAATGACCTAAAAGTATTTAAAAGTTAAAAAAGCAAGGCAAACCATGTAACAAGGACAGCGACATCATCATTGCCGCTTTGTTCTGTACAATCGGATGCGACAATTTCTAAATTTTCATTATTATCCAAACTTTCGTTGAATAACGCAACTAAATCCGTTGGTTCTGTGTCATCTGCCCAATGTACCTTGCCGGACAATGTAACACAGATAACGCTACGATCTGAAAAACTCCTAGTCGTAAACAAATGAGATCAGCAGTTTGATCTTGAATGGACTCGGAAAAATAAATATTTGAAAGGTTCATTTAAAAACAGCGCACACCACAGAAGAAAGATAAAGTGTCATGTTGAGTGAACGAATTCCTGACCAGACTGAAACTAAAATTTTTTTTAAGTTTCACTGATTTCATTAAAACTTCAAAACTTTCGTTTTCCATTTGAAGGTTCGCAATTTCTTGAAAAACCCATGAAAAAGAAAAAAGTCCACATTACTGATTCTAATCACCTGATAACTGATGCAAACTATATGTGTTGCAACATAAAACAGGAGTAAAGCTCCGTTCTTTCCAGCTCATTTTTATTGCTTTTAATCCACTTTCCTCTATTTCTTCAAGCGACATTCTTCCTGATATGTAACCTGAAATTTTTTCCTTTAAAATTTACCAACAAATTCCGTATCACTTATGGAAATTCAAGACAGTTCTTCGTCATACAGTTTGAGGAATGTTTGCAGGCAAAAATCAGTCTGCTACATCGCTAATAGGTAATATGTACTTAACATGTCCTTGGAAATGCGATAAATATCTACTTGGCAAAAAAAGACAACAGAGACAACGAAAATTACTGAAAATCCAATTACAATAATTTAAAGTAACCGTCTTTTATTATTGGTAGTATTTATTGAGTTAATGTTATACAGCGCTACTTTTCAAAAAAATCATCAAAATATTTCAACAATTCTGCAAGTTAATTTTTGAGATAAAAATAACCGTCTTAGATTCTTCAGTAGCATTTCTGGTCGATGTCTTTGTTGAAGTTACTTCTTCATTTACTTCCAAATTTTTTAATGCCACCTGATCGGCCTCAAGCAAAGAAATAAGTTCACCCTTATGTACAGCAACCGTTTTTGGGGCTAGTTTGCGCCGTAAATATGAAACTACAACTGGCTGATCAATAAAATTGTCCTCGAAACAATGATCTGGTTTTGTCAACAAACGGAAAAGCTGAAAGACAAGAGAGGAAAAAATCTGAATTAAGTGAAAGTAAAAAACTATTTGCACTCATTTCGTCTTGAACAACTTAATATACTCAGCTGTCACTTTAACTTGAAATATTTTGCTTGAGGTACTTTACTATAAAACATTTCAAGCACTTGAATCATTTAGCCGGATTTAACTTTAACACTATAATATCATGTTTTCAATCAATGCAATTTATCACCGCTTTAATTTTATCTAACAAACTTTGACTTCCGGTTGAATTACAGCTGCTTTGCAATCCCATTCTTGTTCTGATACTCTTCATCTTTGCCATAATTAAAACATCAAAATTTTGCAAAACATTTTTCAGAGGAATTGGAATTTTGAAATAAAAAATATGATGTAATCAACGGATACCAACCTTATCTTCTCGGTAACTTTTCAGATCATTCAATATATCTTTAGAATTTAACTGTGCTTCGTCTTTCCGTAAATTCCGCAATTTAATTTCTGCAAATAATTTACTAAAAATCCTCGATCTGTCCTGTGCTGTTGTAACCTGACCAATTCATGTTTCAATTCGTCGTTCATTACATACACAGTGAAACTGATGTCACTTTTCTTTTTTTTCTCTACATGATTTTTATACCATTTCCTTTTTTACATGATATATATGAGATTGAGCAGGATTTATACCAGACTGAGCATAGTATCTTGATTTACTTCACCCAATGAATAGTTTGAGTTTACCCAGAAAAGATAAATCTCACTTTCCCTTTCGTTTTTTTTTTTATTTTGCTTATAATTCCAGTAAATATTCCTATTCATTAGTATCACAAGTCATTGTCACCACAATCTTCATTTAGTTGTTAAAATAATTTGATTACCTAAAGTTTTGATATAATCCTCGTCAACATCTGTTTTTGTCATTCCTTCCCATTTAGGAAATGTATCCATCTAGCAATTGTCAAAAAGTTTCATTTTCAGTCAATAACGAGTATTCGAGTAATACCACATATGTTAATTCGTGTGATTCGATTGAAGCGAAGAAACACTGAAATTCGATCAATTCCAGTTTTTTGATAAAATTTATCATTTTGATAAACCTCATTAGATTTTAATCTAAATGAAATTAATGCCGGTTGCACAAAAACAAGTACTTAACAATTCACTCCTGTATTATCATTTAGTCTCAATTTTGATAAATCAAATTTACAGATAATTTTTAAAATTTAAAGCTAGTAGCCTATTTGGTATTTCATAGATACATTAGAATATTTTCTAGAAGACCATAATTCAACGAGTAATTGAGAACGAAGAAAGCAAAGAAAAGAGGAATAAAAATACTTACTATGAATTATGCAATATCACTAGAGATTGAGAAAATGAAAGAAAATAAAATTACTATAAGATAACAGGGACTGAGAGCAAAGCAAAAATACATTTCTCCAGAGCGGTATCAGATAATGGGAAGATTGTAACATACTACTGTAGCACATTACACAGCTTAGTTTAGATAGCTTATTAATTTTGTTGACTCAACGATTCATAAATTAATACTGAGTGATCCCGCAGGATGAAGGAATGGGAAGGTCCAAATATACCAAAATTGTTCTGGGACAGGTTTGTACTTAAGTTGCTACTGTCAGTTAACTTCCCATTTTGTCCCATTCTGTTTGGCATTTGTGTATAGCTTGGGACGTATAAATTAGGGATGTTGTTGCTTTTGTAGAAATTCATGCTCAATTCTCTATCCATGTATAATCGTTCCGTTTGGTCATACATTTCCTACTACGTAATTTCTATTATCTTCACGTTAACTTTTACGTACGTGAGTAATGGTGCTGAAGCATTACTTCATCTATCACATCGAAGCTTTGCGTATAATCTTGTATTTATAAAATTTTTTAATAAAATTGAAAGAGAAAACACAAGTGGTAAATCTTGGTAAATAAAAAAACACGAATAGAAAGTCTCGGCAAATGAAAAAACGATTTCGGTTATAATCCTCGTTTTGATTTTGTTATAATTTGTGGAAACTAAGAAAAGTATTTCTAATCACTGCTTGGTATTCCCTCCTTTTTCCTTAAATTTGAAATAAAGAAAGCACAGATCACGCTCAACAAAATCTCAAAAATTTTATCGATTTCATAACATGTGGTCCGGGACACATTTTACTTAGGATTTTGGGCATGGTCGGGACACGAATTACCGTGGTGTTTGTGTGAGAGTTGTTGCTGGTCAGTGGTGACTGTGTCCTCACGCTTCGTCTCGATGAACATCTCAAGCTTTGGGCGACATTCCATCCACAAATTTAGGTTTGTCTTGTCTCTTCCGGTTCCATTTGGTCTGCATTCCGGAGTTGACAGTCTCCTGCAGTTGTGCCTCCGGATTTACGGATAAGTTAATGAAAGTTCGGTTAATGTTGTAGATTTATGAGGTTGATAAATACTTTAGGATTTCTTGGCCTAATTTGTGGACTTTGTGACGAGTGTTCTACATTTTGACAAAAGTTTGGGAGAAATTCGAACATTCGTATTAGATTGTCGTGGAAATAAAGTATAGATTGGTTTACACTTTTTTGGGCTGTGTACTAAGCGATGTACTTATAATTTCAAGTATCAGCATTGATCCCTGAAATGTCTTTGCAATTTTTTCATGTTTTTCGTTCACATTAGCATTGCATTCAGTGACCAACGACGACGCTGTGCCGGTTCTTTTTTGTAAAATCTGTGTTTTGTATAATATAATATTTTGATTTCAGTCAAGTTTTTTGCATCGCTAAATTTATTTCTTGAATTCTGAAGCTAAGACAGATATAATATCGAAGACGTAAGACATGTCAAAGCGAACTCGAAAACAGATCGAGCCAACGGCGGAAGATCTATCGAACGTTGAGTTTGAAACATCAGAAGAAGTTGACGTTGTGCATACTTTTGATAGTATGGGATTGGGCGAAGAATTACTGCGTGGAATTTATTCATATGGTTGGTTTTCTTTTTTTTCTTTTTTTCTTGGTTGAAGAAGGGAAGCATTAAAGAGTTATTCAAGGAGTGGCTGTATGTTATTATCGACATGATGATTTCAAGATAAAGATGGATAATACTATGTGCCGAATGTTGTTGCGTTCCGGATTGCCTATTTAACTTCAAAAATTCTTTCATATAAATCAGTTTAATAGTTACAAGAATCATCAAAATCCATTTACAGCATCCGATCATCCTTCCCACCTTCTGGGACATATGCTTCGGCATTTACTAATCATTACGTTTGCATTTCCGTGCCACAAAAGAAATTGTTCGGTAAATGAAACAGAAGTTCTAAAATACATTTCAATTTTCAAAAGTTACTTGTGCTGAAGCTGGAAGCAGATAATCCACACTTTCGTTACTTATTCATGTTAATACTTGGTAACATTGCAGGATTTGAAAAGCCATCAGCAATTCAGCAGCGTGCCATCAAACAAATCGTCAAGGGTCGGGACGTTATTGCACAGTAAGTTATTTTCTAAACTAGTTTGATGGAAAAATACGGTGCATGTACTATTTGTCAATTTACTCAAGATAATTTGGACATTCCACTTTCAATGATCAGCTAAATGATGATTGAATAATGCTTTATGAATTACAAAATTTTAGAGCGCAGTCTGGTACTGGAAAGACGGCAACATTTAGTATTGCTGTACTTCAGTCATTGGATATATCATTACGTGAAACTCAAGCACTTATCCTATCACCAACTCGTGAATTGGCTGTGCAAATACAGAAAGTATGCGTATTTGTGATTTATTTCAAGGATGAACCTTGTAAATGAAATTGAAGCTTTGCAAAAATAGTTTTAAATCTTGCAGGTTGTACTTGCTTTGGGTGATTATTTGAACGTACAATGCCATGCATGTATTGGGGGTACAAATGTTGGTGAAGATATTCGTAAACTTGACTATGGTCAACATGTCGTTTCGGGAACTCCTGGACGAGTTTTTGGTAAGTTATTTTGGAAGTTTCATGTGGAATTTCTATAAGTGATTTTTTCTTGAGGTTTTTTTGATGTTATTACTGCTAAAATCAAGAGCTTGTAGTACTCAGTAATTCCGATTGTTTCAGGACTTAGGTTGGCTGGGAGTAATATAAGGTGTAATATAAGTGTAAATTGGTGTAATATAAGCACTCAGATTGATTTTGAGTGAGTTAATCTTTGGAAACAAAACGAAAGTGTGATTATTTGTTCCAGATATGATCCGACGCCGAAATTTGCGTACGCGAAGCATAAAAATGTTGGTGCTAGATGAGGCCGATGAAATGCTGAACAAGGGATTTAAGGAGCAACTGTATGACATCTATCGTTACCTTCCACCTGGTGCACAAGTGGTACTTCTCTCGGCAACTCTTCCTCATGAAATCCTTGAGATGACCAGCAAATTTATGACTGATCCTATCCGCATCCTCGTAAAACGGTTGGTAGTAACAATTTTTTTATCGACTGCAGTCATTGAATTCGTCGAGGAGATTGGTGTTCATGCGCAAAGCTTATGCTTTTAAGGATATGCTGAAAATGACATATTTCGCAGAAATATTGCTCTACAAACTATGTTTTCGGGTTTCAATATCTGCTAGAAATGAAGCATCTTGATAATAACTGAACAACATTTTGTGAATATAAACTGATAATAAATTGACAACACTTTATGAATTTTGTTTCTTATTGACAAAAGTAATTTTTCAGTGATGAATTGACACTGGAAGGCATCAAACAGTTCTTTGTGGCAGTTGATCGGGAAGAATGGAAATTCGATACATTGTGTGATCTTTATGATACTCTCACAATCACGCAGGCAGTGATTTTTTGCAACACGAGAAGAAAGGTTACTTTTTTTTTAATATGATAGGTAGTTTCGGACGAAGTTAGCGGTCATATTAGTTTGAGGTTTACTTTTCAGCTTGGCTTACATTAACATGGTTAGGATAACAAGGACTGCTTTGCATAAATTGATTGTACATGATCAGTAATGATAAAGCGATAACACATTCGCATGTCAACATTATAAATAGGTGTTGAATTCGAATTCGATATTTCCGAGAAAAGAAATTGATTAATTTAAAACTTCTTCGGGAAATGAGAAGTTTGCAGGTCGATTGGTTGGCTGAGAAATTGAAGGAGGCAAATTTCACGGTGTCATCTATGCATGGAGAAATGGAACAAAAGGAGCGTGATGCAATTATGAAGGAATTCCGTGGAGGCGCCAGGTTAGCAGTAATATGGCACTAGCGTTCTGTTATTTTTTTTTCAAAATATATAAAGCCTAAAATATTAGACATGTCCCAGCTTTCAAGATTGGTTTCTTTGAATTTTTGAATCTAGTTTTAATTCCAAGCATGAAGTTTTAGTCGTTTATTGATTTCAACGGATGTATTTGCCCGTGGATTGGATATACCCCAAGTATCACTTGTTGTGAATTATGACTTGCCAAATAATCGCGAATTATACATCCATCGGTAAGTTTGTTAAGCAGTTAAATGTTTAAGTTTTACCTTCCGTTCGGTTTTTAATTTCGTTAAAGAGGAAAAAACGCGGGGATATATTTACATCATTTATAGAATTGGACGATCTGGTCGTTTCGGTCGTAAGGGTGTTGCCATTAATTTCGTGAAATCCGATGATATCCGTATTTTACGTGATATCGAACAGTATTACGCTACACAAATTGATGAAATGCCAATGAACGGTTGGTGGTTTTGTTTTTCAATGTACCATTTAGGAATTTCAGTAGTTACTTTCACGTCCAACTTGCCCAATTCTCATGCCTCACACATTTTAAATAATTGCTTTCGTCGTTATTAAACTTATAAGTTTTGTTAGATCCAGTAGAATATACTCTTGTAAGGAAATAGAAATATAATGGATGAGTATTGGGCTGCAATACTACTTCAGTTGGTTAGATGTTTAGATGTTAAAATCATCTACATATTTTATATGCATACTTTGATAAACAGCAGTAAGACAGATGCATTAAATTCGGTAAAACTTGATTCCAAGCAGGTGTTGTTTAAATGCAACTTTAATATATATATATATATATATATATATATATATATATATATATATATATATATATTATTATTAT